TGGACTCGGGGAACTTACGCATGGGAAAATGACCCCATACTGAGAACCGAAATGGAGGTAAAAAATGGTGGATATTTACCCAACTGTGAAGCGGTCAGGTAAATATCTACCATGCAGACTGTTTAGTACTTTAGTACACATTGGCTTATTTGTTCCCTTGGAAAGCAAAAAAAAAAGAAGAAATTTAGAAAAAAAATCAAAGTAAATTTGCATCATATCATTGCTGAAGATAAAAAAAGGGACTAAATGTGATTTAGAAAGAGGAGTCAGTCGACAATGGTTGGATAACTGAAATGATAACCATTGTGTTCTCCCGACATAATCGATGCGTGATACATAACGTCTCATAAATGTTGGATATGTCACGTGCGCGTTTGTGAAAGGCTCGAAGTATGTCACGTGCGCGTTTGTGAAAGGCTCGAAGTTAAACGCGAAGCGAGTTCCCACGTGGGCATCTCGTTAGCTAAACGCGACGCGTTTAGACTTAATGTCCGCCTTTAAGCAAAAATTCAGGGACATTTACCTCTTGGTAAATTGCGGCTGATATGCACGACACCCATTCAACTTGTTCATTTAATCGTGACATAACTCCAAAACGAAACTATTCAACAATGCTTTATTCAAAATTTAAAAATAATCTGCAAAGAAAACCCATCAAGTCTGACATGCCTTGGTGAGTCTTTTATGAAGAAGACAAAATGTTCAGTCATGAGGGAAATAACTTGACCGCAATAGTTTCGAATGTTTTCGATATTAGTCAATGAGATCTATTAATATCTCTGATGAAGGACAAACAAATTGGTGGAGTTGTTCTTTTATCACACCCACCTGCGGCTCTTAGCACATCTCTCCAGTTCACTCGTTCCTGATCAAACAGAAATTTGGATATCCAAAGACTCTACGACTGTTAAAGATGTGAAGGTAAGTAAATATATTTCACTTTGTTGGTCAAGGTCTGTTCTGGATGAGTAGAGCAACAAACGTTACTAAAAGCTGCTGTTTTCGTCAGCCTGTACTGATTATTCTTGGTCAGAGAAGTGTGTGTACATCCTCTTTCAAGTTTATGGTACTTGTACAGTTGTACAGTAACTAAGTTCTGAGCCACAGAAAGAAAATACTTTTACAGATCTTACGCGAACTCAATAGTGATCAAAAGTATTTTTCAACGAAAGGCCGAAGGAAATGACCATGAATATCGTTGGTCACCCACATCTCACGAAGTAAATATCTCTTTTTGTGTTCATTAGTCATATTTCTAGATCTCATGCAGCTCTGGTGATATCCCCTGCGATGATTTCCATCCTCGTTGAAGTTTGAGTTACATTTTGTAGTATACTAAGTACTGTTGCAGAGATTGCACCATAGCAAAATCTTGTAAAGACATTGAAACGGTCTTTGTAACCCATCATGGAATGAACTATGTTTTGTGTTCCTGTTTGCGAAATGGAAGCGTCTTATCAAGAAATTTTCACACCCTTAACTCGTTCCAATCTGAGCAATACTCAACTCGTTAAAAGTGATGAAAATTCAATCTTACTTTTCTGAAAACAAACCTTTTCAACGGATGCGCCTACGGCAAAATAAGACGCAGCCAGCGCTGCGTCATAGGAGATCCATGTTGGCTCCACTGAGATTAGATATTGATTTGACTTAAACAATCGTGAAGTCTTTCTACTATGTTGGTCAAAGCCTTTTCTGGATGAGTAGAGCGACAAACGTTTCTAAACGCAGCTGTTTTCGTTAGCCTGGACTGATTATTCTTGGTCGGAGAAGTATATATGCTCTTTCGAGTTTACGCTTCATGTATAGTAACTAAGTTCTGAGCCACAGAAAGAAGACATTTTTACCGATCTTGAGCGAACTAATAGTGTTAAAAAGCATTTCACAACGAAACGTCGCAGGAAATGAAATGATCATGAATATCGTTGG